ACACACAGACTTGGCGATCCGCGCGGACCTCCGAGCTTGTATGTTTATGCCAGTGTTTTCGGCGGCGAGCCCCCTCCTCCTCCTCCTCCTCCTAAGTGAGAAGGGGCGGGCCTTCTCAGAAGGCTCGGAAGTCCCCCCGGCTTTGCGAGAAGTTTTCTGAGCCTTCCCCTAAGACACGGGAAACCTCTTAGAAGGCCTGGAGCGCTTCTGGTACGTCCTGCCGCCTTTGAGAAGGGGCCTTCTCTTAAGTCGGGCATGTTCTTCAACAGGAGGAATATTCTAAAATAAGAAAAAATTGTCAGCGGACGCATTTTTCACCCCACATATGACAACGTCTGAATCTATACATACACACACATATATACATCTATATATATATATATATATATAGATATATTCTTTTTTTGGGGGGGTGGGGTGGGGCAATTTTGGATTTTTCATCCAAAATCCCCCAGTAGGAGGACATGCCTGACCTAAGCCTTCTCCTCCCCCCCTCGCCCGCCGCCGATGGTTGTCCCCCGAGACACCACGCCTCCTCCTCGCGCGCGCCTCGGGCCCCCCCTCGCTAACATGGCGGTGCCCCGCTTCGCCGCACTGCTCCTCTGCCTCACCCGCGCGGCCTCTGCCAATTACGACTACGTCGTCGTGGGCGGGGGCGTCGCGGGATCCATCTCGAAGAAGAAAAAACGCCATAAAAAACATAAACTGTTGTTGCTCCGCGTGGATTTCTTGGATCCGCACGGGGCCCCCCTGGCGGCGCCTCTGGCGTCGCCCCTGGCGCGCTCCGCGCGCCGGGGAGGGGGCTCCAGCGCGGGTCCAAGACGTCCGCGCAGAGCGCCAAAGGTTCATGGCCGTGGCGTGTTTCCTTCTCCTGCCATCGTGGCCACGCGCCTGGCCGAAACGCACTCGGTGCTGCTCCTGAACATTGCCGGCGCGCCGCCGGCGCAGTACGACAGCCCCGTGATGGTGTCCGACGAGCTCATCGTGAAGACCAACCTGAGCGCCACGCCCGGGATGAGCGCGCGCATCCGCCAGCCGGGCTACGGGCCGGTGCCCTTCTTCTCCACGGGCGAGACGGGCTCGTCCCCCGCCCGCTGGCTCCCGGGGCCCCATCAAGCGGCGCGGTGTGACCACACCGTGTTCGCCGGCGGCGAGCGTGTCCACATCCATGCCCTCGCCGTCCAGATTCCGGGGCGCGATCCCGTGGATCGGGGGTGGACAGAACCCCCAACAGTGACACGTCGATTAGTGAATTGTCCGTTTTCGGTTCTCGAGAGGGCGCCGCGGCCGTTATTTTCCAGGCTCGCGCCCGCCAGGTTTGGGCCTCAGGTCGTTTTCACTAAACCACGTTTTACTAGAGGGGGGTCTGTCCATCCCGAGTGGATGCGCCATCGCACGGAAACGTTCTGTGCGGGGCATCCGCGATCAAAGCGTCCCGTATCCGCAGGGTCGCGGCCCAGGGGCGTATGTCCGCGGGGTCTTTGCCCAGGGGCCTGGCCCGCGAGGCCTCGGATGCGGATGTTTTTGTTAGTCCACGACGTGTGGTGAGTCAGTGTGGACTCACGGTAACTCGCCGCTCCGAGGATGTCTGGGGCGAATGGGGCCTTCAAGGTCCCAAAACGGTGCGGTAACAGACCGTGCGGCGAGGTCTTCGGGGATGTCGAGGTCACCGCGCGGCCTGTCACCGCAACGTTTCGGGCCCCCAAAGGCTCGGCGGGAGCAGCCTGGTGGGCCTGACGCTCTTCCTGTACGACAAGGGCATGGACTGGGGCCCTGGCTGGGACTGGGAGATCATGCAGAACTGCATGCTCAAGTCGAAGATCCAGCCGACGCACCGCCCAAGGTTCGGCGGCGGGCCCAGGGGCGAAGCGAGAAGGAGAAGGCCTTCTCGGAAGGCTCGGAAGTTCCTCGGCCTTCTGAGAAGTTGCCTAAGCCCTCCCCGAAGACGCACAACACTTCTCAGAAGGCGCGAGAGCTTCTGAGGAGTCCCGCCGCCTTCCGAGAAGGCCTTCTCCTTCTCACTTCCCCCCCTCGCTCGCCGCCGAAAGGTACCTGCACCCCCTGACGCGGCAGTTCCTGGAGCGGGTGCCCACCGCTCAGGCGGGGCCTTCTCTTCGCAGCCTGAGTGGCCAGAATTTTTTCCAGCGTGCTCGAGCCTTGACATCATTAACCAGTGGACCCCAGACGGTCGCAGGCATCCTCGCGCCGTGAGCATATTAGGGACGGGAGGTCTTGTAGCCCCTTTTTTCGGCCTCCGCGGGCCCTGTCTGGGCCCCCCTGGGGGCCGTCCGCAAGGACGGCTCGGGATGACGAACGGGCACCGGCAGCTCCAGGCCTCTGGGGGTCCACGTCGCGAGAATTGCACCCCGGGACGAGGGCCGCCGGGTGCTCCAGGAGTCCCGGAGCGCCTCCCAGGCCAACCGTCGGGGGCAGCGTCGGTGGGGAGCAGGCTCGGGGGTAGGAGGAGGAGGAGGAGGAGGAGGAGGAGGAGGAGGAGGAG